TTTTTCATTTCATTTCATTTTTGATTTATGCACAGCAATTGGGTTTGTTTGCCAATCTTGTGCGCTTTCACTCTCGCTCATACATATGCTTGCTTGTATGTGAACGCGCCTTCCTTTACTCTGATGTATTTGATTTTGAAGTGTTCAGCAGTAGTTGCGGCTGCTTTGTTTTTCTTTTTTCGTTTTTTAATGTCAGATCCGTGTATGCGTGTGCGTCAAATTGTATCGAGAGGGATTTCCATGAATACGAAAACACATAAAGTGTGTTTTGAGGTGAGTCCTTTTTCTCGCATTTTCCAAGAGAATTTTAATCTGCATGTGTTCCATTTTTTCGAGGCCTGATTTCTGTAAACAAATAGCGTAATTGAATGAGCAGTTAGCCTGGAGATGATGCTCGTGTTGTTAGGGTACATACATCAACATCGGGTAGACGTTAGTGAAATTGACACTATTTATTTTGAATATTTTTTAATTCTTAAAATGAGGGTATGATGCAAAACTGATTAAAAATATTTTGCAATTTAACATGAATTTTACAATACTTTAAAATTGGAAATAAATTTAACGACATTTGAAAACTTGACATAATTTTCTGGTAATAAATGTGCATATAGGTACATATAAGTTCTTATAAGCCGCAAATAAAAAATAGCAAACATTTTTGCTCATTTCCAAGCGGTACATACATTCTACAGCACTTAAATATTGGACATAAATTTTACGACATTTGAAAACTGGACATAATTTTTTGGTATAACATAAAAAAAATATCATATATTTTTAATCCTTTAGAAACTTAACATACATTAAAAGTACCAGTTAAAGGAGACATATTTTTTTTTTAATTAAAAACATGACATACCCTTCAAGCAATTTAAAGCACTGGACATAAATTTTACGACATCTGGGCAACATTGTACATACATATGTATAAATTGTACACGAATTTTCGGTAATTTAAAAATTAGACAAACATTTTTAATCTATTAAAAACTGGACTAAAAATATTTGGCAAGTTTAAAGACGTCCGAAATGAATACAACTGAGGTGATTAAAATCGAATGTCTTTGAAATGTGGATATACATATGATATGGATGTTAAAACAAAGACGACTTTTGAATGTAAAAAGTGAATATAGAAAACTGGACAACAAAAAGTAAGGCGTAAGTCAAATTCTTACTATCTATTTTTTTGGTTGTCCGTTCTTTCTAATTAAAAGTTAAAGTTTTTTTGAGAAAAAAATCGCTCCAATTTACATAAGATTAGGATTTGAACTCATGTCCAAGACTAAGTTTATCTCGAGCCATCTTTTATGATATATACGCTCTGATGTGCTCTGTTCAGAAGATAATTATTAAGCTATTTTGCACTCGCACTCTCACTATGGACTTGGAACTTTTTAGCAAGTCGTCAGCAAATTGTGAACCCTACCCAGAATCGGCTGACTGACTCTGAATGGCTCTGAATGTTAAGTGAGCAAAGCAGAGCATGGGCGAATCTCCCACTTATAATAATGGTAAGCTATGCATAAAGGCTCTGTCTGACTATTCTCCATAGCTGTTAAGAGCGGCAGTAGTATCTATAAGGTAGTGGTAGTGTTCAGTGATCATCAGCGCTTTGCCCTATTAGACAAGTGGACGTACAGTGATTAAGCAGTCTTCATCAGGTGGAGGGAAATCGAGAATAATCTTTCATGTTTGACTATGCGGGCAATAGCAATTGAGTGATCCAATAAGAAGATGAATTGCAGACGAAACTTAAGCAAGAGTGCCTGCCATACTTAACAGCAATTGCAAGAATTTTGTAAATTCAAAATTCATAACTTAAAAAAAAAAAATTCTTTTTGAAAATTTCAGTATCTTTTAGGATCAGTTGGAGGTATTGCATAAACAAGGTTGCAAAAAATTTTTATAAGTTTTTGCTCTTACGATTTTTTTTTTTTTTTTTTTTAATTTCAAAATTCTGCATTTTTTGTGTTTAGCGATATGTATACTCTATATATTATTTTCTTTATAGCCCTAAATACCACCAGACCAGAGAAAGAAACCTTTCAAAATCCCGGAAAATCTGAAATTTAGAAATTTGCATAACTTTCAAAAAAAGTTTATTTTTTTCCTTCGACAGAGCTTCGTTATATGACAAAAAAAATTCTGACCAAAATTCATCGAAATCAAAAATTGTTGATTCCAACCACTGCTAGATTAAATATGGATTGACTGATATACATACATATGTATGTATAAATCTATTTCCAACGAACTTTATGCTCTTCACAAGTTCGTCCAGTAGAAGTATACAACTTGGCATCGATTGTCATCCGATCCGAAAGCGAGGCATTATGTTTGGGGGATAAATGGAAGTGTCTCCTCTCTTTTTGGAGTATGAAGAAACTGCTTTAGACCTCAGCAATTAAACGGTGCTTTCCAGACACAGGCTACGGGAACTTTGCAGGGATTTTTGGAAACTAGTATGACTTTCTGAAATCCCTCACTTGTCCACTAAGTTCGAGAAACTCTTATAAATTATCACAAAAGTTAGAAGCATGTTTCTTTGGCAATATACACCAATAAACAAAATTAACTTCATCCGTAAATGTTCACAAATTTTACTAAGCTTATGCTATTTTTTCAAAAGTTTATTTTAGCTTCTAGGGGTTGATTGGAAATATTTTTAATTGAGCTGAACTCGTTCTCGATAAAAAATATTGCCAGACAACAGCACTCTACCACAACTTGAATGAAGCTTCGTAAGCCACCCCGAAAGTGGGAATAACAACACCCTCATTTCACGTATTTATATGCATACATACTACATACATACATACATACACATATCCCTATATATATATGTATGTATATAAAGGTTTGTACGAATTATTTATTTCCAAGACCAAGTATGTATGCGACTCAATGTTTACACTTTCGTTGTAAATCTATTGAAGTGTAAAATGGCTACACTTCAACTGCGATTTGGTGGCTGCTTTCAGCACTTTGAGCTTTCACACTAAAAACGCACGTAAAAAGCTTATATGAATATGCTATTATATGTACTTACATATAAAGCATAAGTAGTATAAATATGAGTAGGTATATACAAAGCCACAAGCACTCATACACTATACATACATATGCGCATATATATTTGCGTTTACAGAATCGATGTGAAATCGCTTTGAGTGTCGGATATCCAGGTCACTCATACGCCGCAGTGTCTGTAAACTCTACAACACTTTGAAGTACTAAATTCGTACTAAGTATGTATATCTATTTGTGGTTGTTTCGTTTGCATTTGTGTGTACTTTTGAGCTCGTTATGTGCTGGTATTACTTAAAAAAATTTTGATTATTTCCTCTGTTTATGCTCATTTTAATGGCTGCCTGTAAGTGGTGCAGCTGTTGATTTTATTTTTGGAAAAAGGTTTTAATCAATTTACATGAAAATTTTTAAATTTTGGTTAGTAAGATAAATGTTTAGACTTCCCCTTTGGTATATAAGAATACACAACAACTTAAGCAAGTTTTTTTTGTGAAATAGTTGAAAATATTAATTTACATATCTATGTATATGCAAACATGTGATTGGAGGCAAGTGCCACAAAGGTGAACTTACTCACAGAGATAACTCACAACCAACAGCTGTGAATAGGGCGCAAATTAAATATCTTCCTTTAACTTGCTTCATTGATCACGCCTGTTCTGAGATATGTATTTTGATAACCTCCATATTTTGTTTTGTCTTTAGCAAGGTTTTTTTCAAGGGCTAGAAATTTCAAAACTTATTCTGAATAATCCTGAATTTAGGATACATATTTAAGGTTAAAGTACAATAATTTGCATTTTCCATTATCTTCTCTTTCATTGCCTTTAATGCCCTCCAAGACATGTGGCATCTGGTTCTGTTTCTGGCAATCGCTTTGAGCTTCTTGCAGCTGCTTTCAGCTTAACCCCAGCTGCTACGCCTCTCGATCGATTGTTCTTCTCCACATTTCGCGGGAGACCTGCCTCTGCCGATAAGAGGACTCTATTCCAAGGCCTTCTTTGTAATACTGCCGACTTCTTTGCGCAAATTTTGGCCTACCCATGATAGTCTTTCTGAGCCACTCCTCATTTGAGATTGTTTTAGGCCACGAAATTCGAAGCATCTTAGAAGAATGAAATTATTGCTTAAACCTTATTGGCTCTTTTCAAAATGTTTTCGTGATTTTCCAATATCTTCTTGGCTTATTTTCGAAACTTTTATGGGTTTTCAGGACTGTTTTTAGAAATTTTTCGGAACCATTTAAGAATTTGGACGATTTTTTCGGTTGTTTGCGCTATTTTTTCGGGATTTTTGGAAATCTCCGAACAAATAGGTATTTTCGGGAATTTTTTATCTTCCACATATAAGATTTATTTAAATTTTTTTCGAGACCGTTCGGGATGTTCGATATTTTTAATAATTTTACAGCTTTATTTGGGACTTTTAGTATTTTTTCTGACTCTATATCTATCTCGAAACTTTTTGTGGTATTCTACGATTTTATTCGGAGTTTCTATTATCTTACGTAATATTTTTTATTTCCATTCGTTTCTATACGGGAAGTTTTACCAACTTTCAATACTTACGTGAAATTTTATTTTTTTTATTTTCCACTTCGGAAATTTTTTGAAACTTTTCGAAATTTTTTTTCGAAACCATTCCAGATTTTTGCAATATTTCAGGAAGTTTTTATTTTTATAGGTGAAATTTCGGAATAATTTTGAAATGTGTTTTAGGCCCGTACGATATTTTTCTCAATTTTTTAACTTTTATACCGTGATATTCGGAAAGCCTTCGGAACCTTTCAGAACTTTCAGTTAATCTTTTGGGCACTTTTGGTTCTTTTTTTAACTTTCATTGCTGATTGAGGACTTTTCTTGATACTTTCTCAGATATTTTGGCATATTTTGAGATTATTTCATGCTGCCTCGGCTTTTTTTCCCGGAACTATCGCAACAATGCGTTGCTTAGAAATGACCCACCTCTACATGTAAAACGGCATTTGGACGACTGAAGAAGAGGCATAGATCCGTGCCTAGATTCTCATTCGAAAAGGCACGAATTCGGCTAGGACTTAACAGCGTCATCTCAACAAAACTGCAAACTATACTTATGATTTAAAAAAATTTGGTAAATTTACTTTCGGATAAATTTCTACTTACAATTGTACTTACAAATCCGGTAATAATAATGTTTTTTTTTCTTTTATTCGGTCTTACCTGAAAGAAGAAGAAAAATAAACAAAATTAGTGCTGTGTAAATGTATTGCGATTTAAATTTTAAATAAGTAGTTTATTTTTCTTAGTTCCAACATTTTATGTTCGCTAATAAAAATTAATTAATTTTTTTTCAAAAAAAAGTTTTATTTTTCAAAAAATTAAAACTCCTCTGTTTTTACAACGCTCTTTTTGAAGCTGCTTTTAGAATGCAAAGATGCAAGCATAAATTTCCCCAATTTCAAATTAAAATACCACGCCCAACACCACCTAAACCTATTGATTTCTTTGGAGATATGGCTGAAGCCAAAAAAGTAACTTCTAACATAAATTAAAATTCCTTTACTTTATTTTCGTTAAAATTCCTAAGTTACTCGTTAATATTTTATTCAAATACCGCTGCTGCAATGCACTTAAGCAAAAACGGACGACTAGGAATTCAGAAGAAAAATTAAATTCCATGCCAACCGCACATCGCGCGTGGGCTCTGCGTCAACTTCCTTTGCTCGATGCCATCCGCTTTGAGCTGTGAATGTTGCGCAGCGACCACATCCTGTTTTCCAACGCACAACGCGCCCCACTGAACTGGGCAGGAGATCGAGTTAAAAGGAAACGCAGCAGACAACCAAAATACAGATACAAATGCAGAGGCAAGAAGTAGCACAACAACATAATACGAATACCAACAGCAGCAACAACAATCCCAGCCATCAACAAAACACAACTACAATTACATACTGGCGACTGCTTTAAATGTGTCTGTATGTGTGCGTGTCTTTGACACAGCTTCCGGCTTAGCTCTCCTCCAATTCCGTCTACTCACAGGATATTACAGGCTGAACGCTGCTTGTGGCCATAGCCGCAAGTACCAACCTCCTCCTCCTGCTGACTTCCTCAAGCGCCAAGTGTATAACAGTCACGCTGATTAAGTAATTCAGATTCAATATTCGCCTAGAGTGCAAAGTCGCTTGCATTGCTTTGGTTGCTTTTGTCCGCTCAGCTGATATTCCCAACCACAAATGATAATGGCGTTAGGAGTTGGTTGGCTATCGGACTGACTGGCTGGCTGGCTGGGCGATGGGTTGATGGGTTGATGGCTTGACTGGCAACGCAATAGCTTGTTTGCGGTTGGTGTTGATGTCGTCGCACCCACCCACACACCTTAGACACATACACACAAACATATTTTCGATGTTTGAAACAGCTGTTGGCAGCATTTGAATGGCGTAAGGAGGTCAAGAGATCGCTCGCGGTAGTGGTTACGCCAGCTAACTAACACCACTTCACGCCAAAACAGGATGCAGTGCACTGCTGGTGTTGCATGCTTTTAGGGGCAACCACTCTGCCTTGGCCAGTGAGTTTCATGAATGGAATGCTATGCAATGAAGCCTTCACCGTAATTTCAGCCAAATCAGTTCTGCGGCAGCAGTTGTAGCCAATCAATGGGTGGTTGTTGGTGTTGTTGTTGTTGTTGTTGTTGCTTCGTAGCTGTGCAGCGATTCTCACTTTACTACTTGCGGTTATGAATGGCACTCACCAACAACACCAGCACCAGCACCACTACCACCGAGAGTATTTGCCTGGGGCAGCAACATCACACCTCAACTGTAGGCGACGCTGGAATGCGGCAAAGTGGGTGGCTGGTTGGCTCTGCACATTGTATTGTAGTTATCGTGGTGGCAGGAAGTGTACCCGTTGCGCTGCCCGTAACGGATTTTCATGTTTCTTGCGTTACTTGGCAGTCCTTTGCTGGTGCAACTTGCCAAGCGCGAGTGGAAGGGAAATGCGAAGAGCTAAACAATGCGTTAAGCTCGCGGGCAGTACTTGAAGTCACCTCAAGGATTTTCACTTGAGGCATTGCCTGAAAGGATTTCACAGCTCGCTGGTAATAGCAGATTGAGCAACGTAATCGGAAATAATTTTTTTTTTTGAGCAGTTTTCCATTGCTGTATAAGAGCAGGGAAATTTCGCATGCATGGAAATGTGAATAGCCCAAAGTGAATATGTATATGAATAGTAAAATCAGGAAAAGGCTAATTGAAACTCACAAAATAAAAAAATAAAACTTCCAAGTTAAAAAATAAAACTCGCGAGCTAAAAAATAAAACTAGCGAGCTTAAAATAAAACTCGCGAGCTAAAAATAAAATGCTCTTGAAAAACGTACGCCATAAATTCCTATGCTGAATCAAAAAGAGGGACTCGTGAGTTAAAAAAAAAGTTTACAAGTGAAAAAAATTATACTCATGAGTTTCAATTATTAAATTAACGGGTTTGCTTTCAGAAATGCATGCATGCACAGAGTAAATACAGCAAAACTCGCAAGAAAAAATTGATTTGGCTCTCTTCTTCTTATACGTAGAGAATTTTGTTTCGTATCAAATGGCAAATACCACATGCTGGAGACTCGCGAGCTAAAAAATAAGGCTCGCGAGCAGAAAATTGAGAACTCTTGAGCTTCATTCGCTAGGAAAAGTAAATTTTGTGCGCAAAAAATTAAACTCGAGAGTTGAAAGCGTAAACTCGAGAGTTAAAAAAGTAAACTCACGAGCAGGAAATATGGGCTCCGGAGCTTCATATGCAAGGGAAAACAAATGTTATGAGTAAAACGAATTAAACTCGCGAGTTAAAAAATTATGTATTGTGGAATGATTTTCCGTCAACTGTTGTCAAATTTGATTTGAAGCCAACCGGTTTCGGCGTCGTGACATTTTCGGTTTAATTTTCTGTTCCAATTTAAATGTTTTGCGTTAAATATTAAACTATGTAAACTCGCAAATAAAATATAAAGCTCGAGAGCTGAGAAGAAAAATGTTCGTCCAAGCAGCAAACGGCATGCAAAGTGCTTTAGGTTGGCGGTCGACCGGGGGCGGTTAAGGAGCTTCTTCGGCTGGCTAAGCGCGAACTCTCAGCTTTGATGGGCATCATGACCGGGATAGTGCAAAATAGGACCACATATTCGTCGATTTTAAATTGTTTAAGACCTCCATTTCCTAACTGTTCGAAGGATACGTGGTCAATCGCCTAAGTGCTTTCTTCCCAGCTCTCCAGCGAGGCTAACAATAAGATCTAAACCTCTCGGCGCTTATGACTTGCAACTTTATTTTGATCATGCAGCATTTTGCATAACTAATTCATACTTAATTCTGGGATCATTGTTAAAGGAAACCCTAGTGTGTTTTAAAATAATTATGTATTTAGTATGACAATTGCAATGGCATACAATATTTTTGCTGGAATTTTGTGTATTAATTTAAAATAAAAAGACGGATTTGTAAAAAAACAAAAAAACTATGTAAGCAACAAAAAGTTATTGATTCCATATAGTTTAATAAAACCTACAGTAATCAAGCCTTTGAAATTAAACGATTTTTTCTTTTTTGTTTTTAAGGTAACTTTTTTGTGATAAAATATATGTATGTGTAAGATGACATTTTAGAACCAAATAAAACGACTAAACATTATACTATCTCCGTTATAAATGTATTTCGTGCGAATTCGTTCATATGCAAGTGTGCGTGCATCATTTTTTGCATTCATAAAAACACAAAGTAATCTTCTTAGTTATTGATTTTATTTGTCACAAAATGCAAAATGGCAAGCCAGCAAATTGATTCAATACAATTTTTAATTTGCCACATAAATAAAATTCTATGCAAACAATTTATTTTTAACAAAAGTGAATTACACGCAATGTTTCACACAAAATACATACGTACAAACATACATACAAAAGGAAGAGAAAGTATAGGGTACTTCAAGAAGTGCTTTCGGGCTTTAAACTGCCATGCTGAAGATTTTTTTTACGAAAAAATAGTTTTGGTTTCGGAAGGAAAAAATTCTATATTAGCGAAGTGTGGTGCGATATAGGCAGTTATCGATAACGATATCTATAAATATGGCCCTAAATAAAGGCTCACATAAAATCTTAAGAAAACAATAGCTGCACCAATAATAATATCGATACAAGCATATGTTTAAAAAAATTTTAAATACTAATATTTATTTAAAGAACAAAACTATTCGAAAAATAGAAAATCAACGGTTAGTCGACTTTTTGCTTGAGAGCGGTTAGTTGAAAAAGTTGAATGGGAACGGTTAATAGCTTAAGCGAAATTTACTATTTTGAAACAACTTTTGCTAATTGATTAATCGTTAAGTCGACCAGTCGATTACCAAGAGCTCCAAACGAAAGCCTCGTGTGCATTTTCAGTATTTAGTTTTTAAGCAAATCTGCCCTGCTAACCCCTTTTGAACGACCCTTTGCCCAAAGTATTTCATTTCATTAATTTTTCACTTGTTTAATGTTGTTATCCTGCAGCTGTACTTTTTGTTGTTGTTTTTTTAAATTATTCGCATTTTTAAATAATTTTTTTCGGCACTTTTTAAATTTACTTTTCCATATTTTTTTTTCTTAATCAAAATTCATTTATTTCATTTATTAGCAATTTCATTTCCACTCACTGGACTTGAATGCTTTCGTAAATTCAAATTCACTACAATACCAGATAACAACTCAACCGATTTCAATTATATTATTTAGATTATTTTATTGTTAGAACGACGTGATCGAATGACTGGCCAGGCAATAAACCAAGTACATATATGTATATGTATGTATACTGGTATGCAAACATGAAATGGTGTTGTTGTGGTTAACCCAGCAACCGAATTGGTCTACAAACAAAACAAATAAATAGCGAGCAGCCAAGGTGCACACAAGCAGCAGACCAACACAAACAGAACGATACAAAAGCTTTTCAACTCTTCAGGAGAATGCAGAGTTCTTAGAGTTCCAGCTAGCAGCAAACTAACAAATATACGTATATGTCTGTAAAATAATAACTAGCATAGTCCTTGCCATACAATCGTC